GGGGTGAGGGGTGAAATTTTGCACAGTAAATAAAAATTTATTGTGAGTGCGAGGCAATTAACATCTTTTTGCATTCTTGGGAAGTTTTTCTTTTCTGTGCAAGCATTTTCCCTGTACACAGCAGCTGAGAGGCGCTCACAGTGGGGTGGGGGTGGCAGGTAGGACAGGGGATGGGGTGAACTGGGCCACAAGATACGCATCTTACTGGAGACTGGCAGCTCTGGATCTTGCGGCTTAAAAATCTGCGAAGTTGCTTTGGGAGGGGGCGGACGGGCAGCATTTCCCCCCCCCCCCTCACTGGGCACCTGCAGCCTTGGAGCAAGCTTTTGCACAGTAAAGAAAAACTTCTCATGTGTGTGAGAAGTTCTTAATTGCCTTTACTGTGTAGGTTGCTGCAGGTTATGAGGCTGCAGGTGCCCTGGGAGGGAAGGGAGAAAGAGGGAAGGGAAAGTGAATGGGATATGGATGGATCGATGGATGGATAGAGGGAGGGAGGGAGAGAAAAAGGAAAGGAAGGAAGGATCACAAACCTGGCACCAGACGCAGCTTCAGAGGATGCTTTGAAACAGCACAGCAATCCAGGGCTGGAAGGGACCTCGGAGGTCATCTAGTCCAAACCCCCTGCTCCAGCAGGAGACGTTATATCATTTTGGTTATTTTGGTGCCTCTAACACAGAGGAGAAATTCCCAAAAAAATCCCAGGCATTGCCAACCTCTCCCCCTAGTGGAAAAAAAAACCAAGAGCAAAAAAACTATTAAGAAAAGAAAAGGGGGCTGCTGTGCATTGTTTAATGGACTGCTTAATTGACAAAATTGGCCATGCCCACCCAGTCACATGACCACCAAGCCACTCCTACCCAGTCACAGGACCACCAAGCCGCTCCCACCTGGTTACATGACCCTTCCATGCCATGCCCACAAAATAAGTCATGCCCACATAGGTTGTAAATTTTTTTGAAACCCACCTCTGAATGGGAACTAGACAGTCCCTTAATTGACTTGACCCTTTGTCATGTAGAACTTTGTGTGATCACCAGCACCTTTTATTGTATCTGTACCAGCAACTAATGCAACTTGTGAAATAGTGTGTAATGGTCCTAGTGAGGTATGCTTATCACTGTCCTTGATTTACAACCACAGTTGAGACTGGATTTCTAGTTGTAAGACATGCTCATAAGTTGAGGCACCCACATGATCAGACCTGATGTTATGACGTTTGTGGTAGTTATTAACTAAATTCTGATTGGTAAGTGAATACAATGATTGTAAGTGCAAACCCATTTTTCCAAATGGACAGTTTTTTGGGGACATTGTCAACGAATGCTGGAAACTGGCAAAAAAAATTCCTTTTTTAAAAATGAAAATGTTGTTTCTGAAAGAAAAAGAGATTTGGATCCTGGTTGTAAAAACAGACCTTGCTAAATTTGTCTTAATATGCCTGGAGACAGAAACTGGGAGTCTTTGTTGAGTTTGTTGTAACAAAAACAAATGCAGCTAAATTGTTAGGCTTTCTTCATTCCAATGAGGAAGCTGTTTGAATTTGCGATGGAATTTGAAGGTCAGCTTTTGGGTTGACAGGGACTCAAAGAGGCAACCACCTAAGCCAATAATGGCACCCCCGTGCGTGAGAGCACGCATGCACATGCCCACACCCATAATGCAATGCATGTGTGACACCCCCTGTGCCCCATCTCCCTGCGCATGTGCATGTGACCCCCTGCACATTCCCCTGCCCCCCTGCAGATTCACACATGAATCCCCTTGCCCTGTTTTTGGCCTAGCAGGCCTCACTGAAGCTGCCTGGGGCCAAAAATGGGCTGCGGGGAGCACCTCCCCCCTGTTGCATGTTTTGAGTCTAGCAGGCCTCCCTGAAGGTCCTGGGACCAAAAGTGTCTCCCACTCCCTCCATTCCCCGTGCATCGGTGCACGACCCCCCACGCATGTGACGCATCTCCCGCATACACCCCATACATGTACGGTAGAGACCCAAAAATCAGCTGGCTGGCAGGACACGCTCACACAAGCGTGGTGGAATTGAGCTGGGGCGACAGCTCATGTGCCTGCAGAGGGGGCTCCATGTGCCACTTATGGCATGTATGCCATAGTTTTGCCATCACGGCCCTAGGCAAAATGTTACTCTCCATTTAAGAAGAGAAATGTGAATAAGACAAGTTTTAACCCAAACTTTATTAAAACATATCAAGCCAGGTACATTATCCAAAGATAATATGCATGCTCCCATCTTGGATTTACATTACAGAGGAAAGTAGACCACAAAGAAAGGTAGCTTAAAGACAAACTTTTACAGTTTTCTATCAAGTCCTTTAACACAAAAACATACTCCCAGTGCCCTTAGTTTCCTTCCCAGAAACAGGAGAAAACACTTACTTGCCTTGAAAACAGCAAGAGCATTAATTTCCTATCTCTTCAATCATTTGTATGTCATATATGATACTGTGTAAAACAAATATTTCAGAAAATGAAGTAGAACACATTGCGACAACTGGAAAATCAAACGAATTTCCTTCACTTAGTTCTCTATCCGTTTGCTGCTTAAACTATTCTGGTTCAAATGAACAAATTACACTTTAGTTGTGAGATATTGGGTGGAACATTTACTCTAAATTACAGAGTTCATAGGCTTGTTATAGGAAAATGTAGCAACCGTATTTGACTTAATATCCCATAGTAAAAAATAATCCCAGTCAAAATAGTTGTTTGTGAATGGTTTAATAAGTAATAGTAACTCAAATGTTCTTAGAAAATTTTAGGAGGAGGAACAGAGCCTTTGGTTCCTGTAAATAAATTCAAATATTTCTAGCCCCTTTGCAGCTTGAAGTTACCATAAATGTTTGAATGCTAGGAGCAAGTGTTTCCACCCCCCAAAGCTGCAGAAACACTACTATTATATGAGGACTGTATTTCCTGTAGATGTTGCAAGAATTTAGATCAGTGTTTCTCAACCTTGTCAACTTGAAGATGTCTGGACTTCAACTCCCAGAATTCCCCAGCCAGAATTCTCGGAGTTGAAGTCCAGACATCTTCAAGTTGACAAGGTTGAGAAACACTGATTTAGATTGTTCTAGAGATGCTATAAAAATAGTTTATCTTTCAGTCACTTCCCAACCCCTGAACACATATCTTTGTTTTGGTTGGTTAAATATTTTCTTGACTTCCTTAATTGCCTGACAATGCCTCCTGGTGCTATCCCAGTTCTCATTTTCCACCAGTGTCTCCTGCTTATCTATTTCACCACAGCAATTATGCAGCAACAAACAGAACTGACTTTGATCTTTTAACTTCTTAAAGAGATCCAGTCAGTGGTGGTTTCCAGATCCTGTTGCAACCGGTACAGTTGCAATGGGGCCCGGTGTCCTCCACATGAATGCATGCAGCGTGTGTGCACATGCGCACAGCATGCACATGCATCTTACCCTCCAGAGATGCCTCCATGACACTCCAGTTGCTTGGCGGAGCATCGCGCAGGTGCTGTATGTGCTATGTGTGTGCGCAGGCTCACTGAAGAGTTTAAAGACAGGTAAGGATGACGAGCAGGCAGGTGGGCCCTCCGGAGCACCGTACTGGAATGGTACTCGTACCGGGGCGTACCGCCTGCTACCCACCACTGGATACAGCCCCCCTTTTTTGCATTCTCTCACCTCAACAGGATCATGCCCATAAAATTCCATCATCAACTGCTGAAAATTAATAGCATATTTCTGGCTATTGGTTAAAAAAACTGCAGTAAGTCTTCAGAGTAGGCTTAACACATTTTAGTTGAGAGAAAATAGTCCACACCTGAAACTGTAAAGAATTTCTCTCAAAACTTCATTTTCCAGTGGATGTTACAGCATAATTAACAGTTCTCTTCCTATGATTCCCTCATACTGAAAATAATAGCTAAAGAGAAACATTATGTTTGGATGTGGTAAGATTTGTCTGCCTCTGTGATCTTTTTTGTTCCTTGATGCATTTTGGCCTAGTAGCTCTGTTCCCAGCAGCAGTAACTTAAAAATGGATAGAGAATATCATATTTAAAAAGCCACAAATTCTTAGTGTTCCACAGAGTATTAATTCATGTTTCATACAGGAATATTAATTTCAGTAGAAAACTTTTAATATCAATATTTTTGTTGAAGTAACAAAGTATTTTTAATTGCTATCCTCCTGAGGTGGTGCATGTTTTTAACACTATAAAGCCATACAGTATTCAAGATTTATTATAGACAAATACATCAAAAATTCAAGTAGAATTAATTGCATTTTACTTGGTACTAGCATGATTTTCTATATAGTTTTGAAGAAAAAAAAAGAAAAGGTGTGCTATGGTTCCAAACGGTCCAATTATTTTAAGCAATGTGGATACTCGCCACAAATTTAGTTTGCAAATTCCACTCAGTAATGTTCCCACACGATCCTCTCCCAAATCCCTCCCAAAGCCTTTTCAATCTGATCTATTGTCTTCACATCGGTTGTCTTTGAAACTCAGAAAATGGAGGAACCATTTTCAATGCTCATCCTCTAGTTTATCAAAATGAGAATATCAAATGTAATTCAAGTGCTCCATCCCCTGAATTGCTATCAGCTGTTGAATAATGGAATCCCCTCACCTCCCTCCACACAAAGATGAAATCTCAGAAATTGTTTGTCCTTTTATCCATTTTTTTTAAAGAATATGGGTTTATGTGCTGGCAAAACAATCTGAAAATAAACAGCAATGGTGGGAAGCTGAAGCAGGAAAGTTCAACCAAAAGAAAAAGAAAGTAAGCAAAACATCTGATGTTGCTCGAAGACTTCTGCCACTCTTCCATTTTTGTATTTAAATGTCCCCATCTCTTGTAAAATTTGTTCTGATTTTTCCCAATAACTGTATCCATGCTTGCAAAAGGACCGTGGTGGCTGGATTTGATGAGGGGAAGACATATTGTGAATAATGGATAGAGAAGAGTCAAGGTCAGTGAAGGATTAACTTCTGTGAAGTTTGGTAATAATAGTTAACACGAGTCCAGAAACTGAGAGGAAGGTTAAGACAAAAATTATCACAAGTGAGAAAACAGACTGCCCAGAAAGTCTGCAGAACCTCTGTGATCTAAAAAGAAAAAAAATTCAAAAGTTTTAAATACACCTGAGAAGAGTCAGATATAACCTAACTCAATTCACAAAAAAGAGATCACAGCATGAATCCATTCCGCCTGGAGCCAATCCCACAGAGGATTATGAAAATGCCCTGAGTTTTTCTTCAGAATTATAATTTACTCCTTTCCTTTATCCAAACAAGGATTCTTGAGAATTGTAATTCTGTCTGTATAAGGGCTTGGAACAGACACAACTCAGCATTGTTCCCAAACTATAATTTCCAAGGTTCTTGGAGAAGTTGCGAAGATTATACTGTCTTAACAGTGCTGGGTTATGAGATAATCACTTGAAGTATAATAACACCATGTAACTGCTAGTTACTTTGCTGTTTTGAAATGAAACAGTTTTTATTTTGGAAACGTAATGGATTCAGGACATGCAAAAAGACATTTTGGAATATGCCAGCTAAACCTGAATTAATAAGATAATTGATCCACTGTTTAGACTTCGAAAATTTAACTGCAGCCATTTGCCATAACAGCTTATTCCGTTCTTTTAGCTCCACTAGAAGTACCTCACACTGACAAGTCGTCAGACCTTGCCTTACTGCTTGTGTGGCTAGTTTTGCTGAGTCTGCGTTTGTTCTGAAAGTATCCATTTGGTGTCAGATTCAGTGCAGAGTTTACACTGGCTTCTGGATGTTGCATGTAGTTTAGTTGGATAAAGGGGGCTTCTCCACCTGAATCATCTGGATTGTGAACCCTCTCTGTTGCAAAGTTGACCGTGTTTTGCTCAGAGGCCATTTTGTTACTAAAGGGGCTGAGATATTTCCCAGTAGGGTTGGCTAAACACTGATTAAAATCTGGAGGAGGGGTGCAGCTTTCATCTGTCTTCACTTGAGTGTCTCCCTCCAGTTTGCCAATTGCTGGTGTAGGGCTGATTTTCTGAGATAAGGTGTGCTTAGCTTTCTTCCATCCTAAGTGATACAGTTCAGCCAGGCTTAAGAAGAGAGAGAAGGCTGCTACCACAAGCATGAAAACGATAAAGATGTTCTTTTCTGTTGGCCGAGAGATATAACAGTTGACTGGATTAGGACAGGGCTGCCGGTGACAGATATAGAGGGTCTCCAGAAAGATTCCATAGAGCATATATTGCCCAACAATGAAAGCAATCTCCATGGTGGTACGGATTAAAATACTGCAGACGTAGGTATTCAGCAAAGTGCCCTGAAGAATTATTCTCCCATTGGGTTCATCCCAGCAGGACAGTTCTATCTTCTCTGGTGCTGGGTAATCCTGCTGGGAAAAAGAGTCACACTTGTTCTGGATTGTCTTTGCTCCTTCCTTGGCCTCCTTAAGTTTCCTCTTCTCCTCCATACGGACAGTATGCATTGCGTGACCCATGTATAGCAGGGATGGTGTGGAGACAAAGATAATCTGAAGGACCCAATACCTGATGTGGGATATTGGGAAAGCTTTGTCATAGCAAACATTCTCACAACCGGGTTGCTGGGTGTCGCATTTGAAATCAGACTGTTCATCTCCCCAGGAAGATTCTGCAGCTGTGCCCAGGACAAGCATCCGGAAGATAAAAAGGACAGTCAACCAGACTTTTCCCACTACTGTTGAATGTTTATGGACTTCTTCAAGGAATTCTCCTAGGAAGCTCCAATCACCCATGTTTATTCAATTGGGAGACTGGCGTCTGAGGGCAAAAGAGAAAAAAGGAGTTATGGTGAACAATGTGTAGGGCATGGAAATGTCTTCCCTAACTTAATGATCTCCAGATATATAGGATTCTAATTCTCTTATAGATGGCCATTAGCCATCCACTGATAATTAGAGTTGAAGTCCTTCACATCTGAATGACATATTGTGCAAAGCAGTAAAGCCTTTGTAAGTGGCTTTAAAAGACATTAAAGGCATGAAAATTTCACCTTAAAATGCAGATTATCATAAAGACAATAAGGGTAGCACATTATTTGTTTGCAATGTTTTTAACTTATATCAGTGTAGCATAGAAAATAGGTTCAAAATATCTTCAGGGGGTAATATAACCTTTGATTTTAACCTTATTTGTTCATATTCCCAAGCTTTAGACAGTGTTTCTCAACCTGGCAACGTTAAGATGTGTAGACTGTAACTCCAAGAATTCCCAAGTCAGCCATTCTGATAAACACTGCTCTAAGCTATCCCATATGCACCATCATCCCAACTGTCTTCTCTGGTGGCCACAACATGTCTAGATACTATGGGAAGTTAAAACAGTGGTGGCCTTATTTCTCTCACTTTAGCAAGGTTTCTCAACCTTGACAACGTGGCTGGGGAATTCTGGGAATCAAAGTCCTCTCATCTTGCAAAGGTTGAGAAATTCTCAACTATAGGAAGGGCCACCTTTCACTATGAAACTCTAGTGAAGAAAGACTCAAGGGGATTCTTAGTACTGTCAGTCATGACACCTTTTCGAGCTGCCCATCTCTGATTCATTAATAGATTTGTCTTTCTTAGTTAAAAGAAAAATAGTGACAAGATGAATAGGAAAACATGAGTTAGTGTTTCCAACGGAGTCTTTATTATACCGTTTGTCTGTTTTATTTAAGGGGTTAGATGTTGCAGTCTTCTCTTACCCCGCCCCACCTTTTCCATTGCTTCTGCTTCTTCAAAACAAAAAATACAATAACTATAGAACATCATTTGCTTGATAGCACTACACACACTCCATCCAGAGAAACACAGTTTATTGCTTTTAATTGACTGATTTTTTCAGTGCACTGGAATTAGAATGCTTGACAGATGTTCTGTTTCCAGATTTATTTCAAGCATTTGTAGCTTTAAATAAATCCCGACACTGAAGTTCCAATGCATGCTGCTGAATACTTGAGAGACTAGCTTCAGACTCTAACCAAAGGATAATGCTAAGTGGAGATAATGACCTTGGGTGTGAGTGTACAGAAGGCTGCTGCCCAGATGGGTGTTAGATCTAGTTTTGCTCGTTCGTTATCAGTGACTTCAGTGTCAAGTTAACCAGTATATGACTAAGCGTGAAAATCATAGGGCTGGTACTAAATTGGGAGGTGTTGGGTATGCGAGGACAGCCAAATAATTTTGATCAACCTAGAGAGATTAGGACATACTGACATAGTTTTAAGGCAGTTGAAAAAAAAAAGGTTACAGCTGATGCCTCTCAATTTCTCCAAGTTTTACTAGTTTGCAGCCAGCAAAAGGGACTTTTGCTCTTTTAAGAATACATTTTAAAGAGGGAGGATAATTAAAAGGTAGCAAATAGCAAAATTACAACGTAATCTTTAGCCTCAGAAGAAATACTTGTGTGACGTGCTTATATGTTTAAGCTTTGCAGAAAAGTGTCACAGAGTGCATGTCTTCTGTCTTTCATGTGATACTGTTTGGTTAATTAAAGAAACAACTCACAGCTTAAGATAAACAGTAACTGCAACTTAAACTAGATTTTTCCAGAGCAGTAAGAAAGTCCCCACTCTCTTTGTATCTCTAATAATAACCTGCATTCCTAACTCTACCTTTTAGGATCCCTTTATCTCTTACTTTTTCACATTCTTCCTTGATTTTATTACCAACTTCCATAAACATTGTGGTCTATAATATCATATCCTTCATTTTTCTCTCTTTCCTCTGACCAACTGGGAATAATATCTCATGCATAAAATAAAGTGGGTTCTAGTCCAGAAGAAACCATTTAACAATCTCCAGAGATCAGGAAATACTGGGCTTCAGTTGGTGCACACACTGTCAAATGTCAAATATATCCACATTTGTAATAGTTTTTTTCTTGCATTATTGTGTAAAGGATTGAGGATACATCTAAGAACTAAGGAAGAAAAATGTCAGTCTCTTTCTGTCCACTCTTAAATGTGAATTTGCAAAAGAGTGATGAGAACAATATTTTTGGAAGTTTACTCTAATTCATCATCTAGATTCAATGGTCCCAAATTTATACCAGATAAGCTTTGATTTATGGAGTAAATTGGGAATTGGAAGCATTGAGGAAGGGCTAGGGAAGGGGTTAGGGGTAGTGCAGTTGATGCTTGAGGAAGCCTTATGAGTAGAAATTGTGCATGTGTTCTGGAGCAGTGGCAACATTAATTATGTATAACCAACTACATTATAAATAAAAATTATGATCACTCCATGAAACAACTAGAGATCAAGAAATCCATGCGAAGTATACTTTCTTCCCACCTCTGGTATATTACATACCTGGACAGGTATATCTTCATTGTATGTAACAATAATTCCATATTTAAATTCAATTGCAACTTTGCTAGGTTAATTAAACTTCCTAACATTTTTATTATTTAATTTGCTGTTAAATGTCAGAGCAACATGATCTTCAACTTACACATTCTGCAGAAACACTTTGTTTCCCAACTTTTCTTTCTTAAGGAGGTCAGCAAATGTACTGGTTATGTTAATATAAAAGAATTTGCTACTTTACCAAGGAATGAAGCACAATTTATTCTTCCTTAGGATGTATAAACTGTTCATTGTTTCTATTTCTTTTAGTGCCATGTGACAAAGAAGACAAGGACAGTGGAGATGGATGTGTGAAATCTGCCCTTAAGTCAAATAGAGAAAGAAAATAAGAGCACATTATGTCATGTTTCCGAATCCTTCTAGCTTTAGCATTCCAAGGGCAAAATAGAGGAATTAAAAAAGAATGCAATATTTGTACTTGGCATAATTCCCAAGTGAACTTGAATCTCATCATCCTGAACTTCTCACACCAAAATTTAGATAAAAGCTGTGAGAAATAAGTTTGTCTAATTAGTTATGTCTTTTATACTTCCTTATTGTATTACCTAAGAGGTTATCACATTTTTCAATCATTGTTTCATACTGTATATATTTCAATGAGTGCTAGGGTAAATGCTATATTTAAAAATCTTTTCAGAAGAATTCATATATGCTGGCAGCAACTGGCTAACCAGGTGTAGTCTCTGAAGCTGGGGCTAATCTTGGAAATTGAAAAAAAAAACCGCCCAGAAAAATGCCCTGTCCCCCCGCTCTCCAATTATATGGAGCCGTATTTGATGCTGAGCAGAATATTTATCTGTTAATAAGCTTTTGACTGATTAAGACTTCAACGCAGTCTAGTAGTCAGAGAAGCCTTGATACTAGAGAAGATGCTAGAGAATCCTCACTATTTCATGAAATTAAGCCACACCTTCTTCAATTCCCTCTTCTTAGTTTAATTTAGATAATGTGATATTTAAAACAAACAAAAATGTCCTGGAAATTCCAAATTTGTATTTTTATGATTTTTTAAATAATTTTATTTTGAAGCAACTCAAAATATTTTATTTGGTATTTGTCATTTGGATTATTTTGGTTTGCTTTTTGAAATGAATTGCAGGCAATATTAATTTAGTGGAACCTCTGCTTCTGATGAAGCAAACTCTAGTACTCTAGAAATGCCAAGAGAAAATAATATTTTAAACCATATCACAAACCAGTGATGTGCATGTATTAATAGAAAATCTTCATTTTCTATGTACATTTTACTATAAATCTGATGATATAAGAATACAATAAGAAATTGTTGTATTAGTTCTATAGGATAACACTTATCTCTAGCTTGCAGTTAATAAACTGTTGTGCTTCCAAATCACAGGAGAATGTGCTTATTGCTATCCTTACTGCTATTTCTAAAATTAAATGTGTGTGGGACAAAATCAGCATGGAAATAGACTATTTAAGAGTATACCTCTCTACATTATTAAATAGAAGTAAGCCTCAAATCAGGAGGCAGAAAGCTGTAGTCCTATCTAATCTCTTGAGCAAAAATGTAAAGAACTGCACTGTTTCAGGATTACGCAAGAAGCTAAAAACAAAATTCTATAAAACTCTTCCTTGTAATAAAGGAAGATTCCCTCCCCCAATAAAATTCTACAACTGCAAAGGGTAGATCAATTGTATATTACTGTGGTTACAAAATATCAATAAGAGAATATATTCAAACTTCACAGCTTGTTGTGTCCCCCAATGTTCTGAAAGTACAATTCCCAAAATATTAAGAGGATTAGCATTGACTAACAAAAGAAACATAGAAATGAAAAAATGAAGTTAAAACATATTAGGTTATAGCACTGCTCTTGCTCATTTTTGAATTGCCTCAAAGTTGCATCCCAATTTAGAAAGTGGGTTCATCCAGTCATTCTGATATAATCTTAAATGTACACAATGAAAGGGAACCCGTTATATTGCTAGATTATTCATGGTTGCTAATGTCCTTTAAAATATTCTGAGTGTAATATAAAAATATCAAATTCATATACTCTAAAAAGCTATCCTCTTAATCTTAATTGCATTTTAGAAATACAGCTTTCATTCTCAAGATAGAAGTGACTAATTTTTACCACTTCATTGCAATCCAGAATTCTGTTTGTAATGATTTTCAAAGAACATTTTTACTTACCTAACTTCTTTCTTCTTGAAATTAGCTGTTCTTTTTACCCAGCATGGAGCCTTGGGAGTCTGTGTTCAAAATTCATTTTTTTTTCTCCATCTGCAGCTTGTTAGACATTTACTGTCTTCTCTCTTTATGTGTGTATTTACTTCTCCATCATGTGTTTTGCTCACCCCTTTCCTAGACACTCTTTTTGGCAAAATCAAATAATTTTATAGGTTTCTTTCTTCCTTCATGATCTACTTTTGCAGTTGTTCCTACATAAATACTGCTGTTTTGAAGGTTTTCAGTTGTGCTTTTTTTGGTTGTCAGGAGAGCAAGTACAACTTGTCAAGTGTTCTTTGTAACTGAGGAACAGTGTGAATCCCTTTGCAGTTGCAGCTTTATGAAAAAAAGTTTTCACCACTCATAAAGAAAAAGAATGTTTGGTCTTAATGGGCGGGGCAGAAATAGGTTGCCCCTAGTTATTTCTTAAAAACTCAACCAATGAAAGGACAATCCTTTATTCAGCAAGTCCCTCGTTTATCAAAGATGTGTTTCTTAGGGGCAGAGATAGGTAGACATAAATTATACTGCATTGCTGGACAGTTAAAAAATAGAATCAGAAGTTTGTGGACTTTGCTAGCAAAGCAACCAGCTTAACAAGAATGAATAAGGCACCACTGTTTCTTATCGCACCAAGATTTGTATAATTTCAATATATTTCAAATCCCCTGAAATTCAACATAGCATGTTTTTGCTTTATCCTCACCAACTCAAGTTTGCAAATGCTTTCAGGAGCTTGTTACCAGCACTTGAGTGAATGTGAAAAGTACATATTTCACCAGATAACCTCAGCAAGGTCCTTTAAGATCACATGGGATTCTTCAGACCTTGTGAACACCGAAGAAGCAGAAGAACTCTCTGGGGCATGAACTATGTTACTGATGGACTTGATAAATGGTCTTTGTAAGCTTGTTTGTATGTCTGGGCAGTCATAATTGACTGGATTTGGGAGTGGACCAATCTTCTTTGAGGGAGGGTTAGTGCAGGCTGCCTTTTAAAGTGGAGGTGGTATAGTATGCCTTTTCTAAAGAGATCGCCTCTGACTCCACCTATTTCTGACAACTATCAGTCAGTTGCCAATCTTGCTTTTTGGAGGAAAAGATGGTTCCGTGTCAACTCTAGAGGGTTCCAGAGGAAATGGATTTTATGACTCTTTTGAGTAAAGATTCATACGTGGGCATTACATGGATACATTCCCAGTTATCCTTATATTAAGTTATCTGTGTTATGATCTAAATGGAAGGTGTCATTCAATATAATCAATTTGATATGAGAATTGTGGCTTAATAATAGTATATTATTTCTAAAATCACAGTTCGTATGCATGAGAAAGATTAATCATTTTAATGTTTGCTTCAGTGGGTTCCAAAGTTTTTGCTCCTCTCCCCTATGTTATGTAATGAACCTACACATTGTAATATTGATGTTACATGAAGCCGCTGGGGAAGATAATCCATCAAGTTGACTGAAGTAACATTAATTAAGACTAGAGTTATCATTCAAACCCTATCTTGGTTCTTTGAGGCTGTAAGGGACTTGAGCCTAAAACAAGCTTAGACTAAATCCCTTGAGATGAAATTATTGCATTTCAGTGATCATTCTGGCTCAACATTGGCTTCAACTTTGAAGGTGAAGAGAGTTGCAGTCTTCCTAAAGGAGCAAAGTCTATAACCGGGATGGCGAACCTATGGCACGCAGAGCCATTTGTCAGGGCACGTGAGGCGTTGCCCTTTCAGATGGCCAGCACGCATGCGCACGCTGGCCAGCTGACTTCAGCTTTTTTTAGGCCATTTTTCACCCTCCCGAGGCTCCTATAAAGCCCCCAGAGCCTTCAGGAGCCAGTTTTAGCCCTCCGGAGCCTTCAGGTGGAAGTATCCTGAAGGTTCCTGAAGACTCCAGAGGACTAAAAATGGTCCTATGGACAAACTGGAGGTGACTTCCGTTTTCCTTGTAGGGTCTTTTTCATCCTCCAGAGACTTCAGGGAAGCCTCTTGAAGGTCCCTGAAGGCTCCGGAGAACTAAAAATGGCCCTACGGACAGACTGGAAGTGATTTCTGGTTTGCTCATGGGGTCTTTTTCATCCTCCGGAGCCTCCGGAAGGCCCCTGAAGGCCCCGGAGGGCTAAAACCGGCCCTACAAGCAAACCAAAGACCATTTCCGAACTTCCGGTTTGCCCAGAGGGCTGGTTTTTTGCACTCCGAAGGCTTCAGGGAAGTCTCTGGAGCCTGGGGAGGGAAAAAAAAGCATGCAAAAAATGAGGGAGAGTGCTGGTCATGTGCACATTTGCACTGGGGTCATGCATTGCATTATGGGTGTGGCACGCCTGCGCACGACCTCCCTGCGTTCCCACCACTTGGCACGCAAACCAAAAAAGGTTTGCCATTACTGATCTATAACTTTGGAGAGATCCTGTATTCACAGCTCCTGTTAGAGCAGCAAATGGCACTGGTAGTCAGGGAGACTTTTCCCATTTAGGAGCCTAATTGGAAGCTGATAATAGAGATTATGCCAAATGCAGGACCTGATTCTTGCAGACAACATTGAGGCCAAGGCCCAACAGTTTTAGAGGTGTAGGTGGCTTACTCGGGATCTACAGTGGACAGGTTAATCAGAAAAGCAAGGCATAGTAAGACGTGAACACAGGAAGCAATGCATAATGCTAATAATGGGCAAAGAGGAAAACAAAGGAGAGGAGGATTAATATACATTAATTAATATATTGAATGAATATTGATTTTAAAAATGATTTTTAAAAAAATATATTATATTCTAATTAAAAAACACCTCTGAAGCTTTGACAAAAAAACAAAGTTAACAAATAGGCTTTTAAACCTGATGTAAATATAAAATAGGAATATCCCTTTAATGGCACAAGTTCGTGCAAAGCTGAAATTTAGAGCTAATGTGGAAGTCTTAAAGGAAGGAGATGGTAAGGAATTCACAGAACCAGTTAATAGATTCCATTGTTCAGTGACATTATTGCCAGACACAACTTTGATATAAGAGATTATTGGTAAAATGACCTAAGGAAAATAGATCACATCACACTTTTTCTTGAGCCAATTAGAAATGAAATGTGAGAAAAAGGCCAAAGCCTTTGTATTCAGACTGTGTTTTTGGCTGAATTAGGAAGATAGGAAACTCAGCAAAATTTGGGAGGTGGGTAGTTGTTCTTTTTCTGTGCAGATCCAGTGCAGGACAATTGATTTTGCTCAATCTGTATATTGTTAAATCTTACAAAAAATGATCATGTTGCTCTTCAAGACAGTCCATGCAAGATTTCGATATCCAGAAGCTACATTCTCACCACTTGAGAGACTGTCTAAAAGAGCCTACAATTTATCAATTAAAAAAATAATCTTACAAATGTATTCATTTGGTTACACCTTTCCCCCAAATCCAAGCCTATATACATGGTTATCCCCAGCTGTTTGTCCCTTGTGACAGCCGTTCAACTCTATCAGACTGAGAGATAAGAATGGGCCAAGGACACCCTGTAAGTGGGGATATTCTATCCACTATACCTAGATTGCCTTTCCTGATATCTTAACTATTTTTTATTATTTACAATAAATATGCAGTATGATTCAATACAAGTTGGTAGAAAATATGTTCCTTATTTTAATGGGAATGGTCCCCGATAATGTATCCTATTTATTGGTCAATTGTGCCAAAGTCTGAAAAAGAGACAAAATGTGAACTGCTATATAACTGAGAATGAGGGCAATTTTGCAATGCAGCACTAAGTTGCTTGTCTTTCATGCAAGCGTTTTCAATTGCCTTTGCAGCGACATAATATGAAGTTGGTTAAACAAGACTACGTCCATATTTCAAGCTTTCAAACTGAACCTGGTCAGGTGTTCTGTCAGAACAACAGGTATGGCAAATGTCTATGGAGATTCTCAGTCATCTAGGTCATCGCTGTCCCAAAGGTGCTTTTTTGGGGGACGACGACTTTGTTTTTCCCTGAAGATGTTTTGCTTCTCATTCAAGAACTGAAGAAACTTGTTGAATGAGGAGTGAAACGTTTTCAAGGAAAAACAAAATCCAGTTGAAAAAGAACCTTTGGGATAACCAGAATGGCAATGGCCAATTTGTGGGTTCCCCTGTTTCTTTGCCTCTCCCTCAGAAGGTGAGAAAGCAAATGCTATTTAGTTTCTTTTCTATGGGAGGGTCTTTGTGACAATGCGGTTTCCATCCACATAGGCAAAGAACATCAGTGGTCAAAGAATTATGCAATGGAAGGAACTTTAGATATCTTTTGTCCAATCTCTGCTCGGTATAGCAGCTGCTTGCTTATATTTCACTGCTCCACTGATGGATTGGTGGGAAAAAACCCATACCATAATTTCATTGTTCTTTCAATCATTTGAACTATAAGGGGAGAGTGGGAAATTTGCAATTTCACAAACTTATGAATCTTGATTTCAAAACTGAATCAACATTCAAAATAGAACTGATTTGACATATTTATTTATTTACATTTGTTGGCTGCCCAGCTTCAATGGACTTCGGGTAGCATCCAAAACTAGAAAAAAAATCATTTCTTAATACTATACCAATTTAGGAATATATTCATCAGCTTTTGATTTCTGTTCTGTGCTTTTCACTATCAAGTGATGGTTGTTCCCACTAATCAACTATCAAATTTGTTAAACAAGTGCTGCAGGTCACATTTCTACAGAAAATGTAACCTAATCAATCCTAACAGCCCTATCTCTATCCCTTGAGTATTTAGTGTTCTGACTTGTTAATAGATTTGTGGTCTAAGCACATTGCACATACACACATACATATCCTGTTAAAACCACTGGCTATAATGTGTGTTACTTTTCTTATAGTATTATAAATATTTGGTAATTAAGGTTTTGAACTCTAAAGGAGATGAAAGAAGCCTTGCTTGATATTAAAATTACTTCTGGGTGTTAAAATCCAGATCATTATCTTTATTCTTTATTCTATTTTCATTCTACATTCATTAGTCAGTTTCTTTGCACAGAACAGAAAAACAGACAGAAACTCCCAAGTAATAGTTCAAGAAATCCTGAAACAATTCCAGATGATCTATTTTGTGTTATGACTCAAAATTAAGGATTTAAATAATAAAATGTCAAGATACTTCAATAAAAGAAAACATATTTCTAAATATGCTGTCAACTGTTTTTATAATATCTTTTGAACAGAAATTAATTATTTAGAGCTACCCTTCCTCACTAATCCTCAGTCTTTTTATTATGCCAATCT